TATATATATATATATATATATATATACATATATTAAAATGCAACCGAAGCGACAAGCATAGGCAGTACGTGCGCGCGCAAGAGAGAGAGAATAAAAGAAAAATTAAAAAGGGAAATTGTATCATCAGAATAGAAATATATAAATGTAGGCAGCACGCCAATTACGTGTGTAAAACGGCGTAATATTCACAAAGAAAGAATGAGAGAATGAAAACGAGAAAAAGAAGAGGTTTGTACCGGGCAAGATGTCATGCGAACGAAGATTGGTACGTCAAAAATCAATTGACAAAAAACGGTACGGTGGATGAGAGCTTGGTGAGAAAGAAAAAACGAGAAAAGAATAGAGAGAGAGAGAGAGGTATGAATGTGAATAGTTGATCAACGGATGCACACAATAGTATTAAGTCAATTGAAAGATGCTGGACGCAGCTGGATTTCACATTTTCACGGTTATTCATGGACAACGATACGCGACGCGATATCAGAAGAGAGAGAAGTAACAGAAGGAAAGAAAGATAAAGAAAAGATTCGTTTAATTGGGTGGTCGTCGAAGCCGCGGAAGGCCAGCGGTGGTAAACACATCCTCGATTAGCTGAACAAGATTATATCTCGGCTCATATATCCACTCGAAGTGACCATGAACGTCGCCGTATGTCAATGGAGTAACGGATGTGTGTGAGTCTTGTACGAAAACACCGTACCACCGACGAGACACCATATATATATACACACACATACATATACATACATACATATATATACATATACATATATATATATATATATATATATATATATATATATATATATATATATGTACCAGTTAGGTGAACATATACACAGACATATACTGAAGAGAACGATTAGTCAGTCAAGTCAGTCAGTGAGATCAATGACTGCCAGAGAAAGAAGCAAGTTCTATACATATAGATATACGATAATAACGACATGTAAACGGAGGATAATTTGTACATTCCAATATTAAGTTCGTTCAGTACACGTTCAGGCGAGCGGGCGTTTGCAACGAGAAGTTCGAGAATTCACGATGAGAAGAGAGAAGGAGGAAGTATTAAGGAAGGAGAGAATTATTTGCGAAATACACCGACCGATCGACCGCACCACGTATTACACAAACGCATCGTATAACATGGGGCAGGTGCAAATGCAAAATGAGTTTTTGAAAACGCGTCGGACATTGTCGGGTGGATTGTCATTGGGAGCTGACAATCGGCTCTTCATACGCGCGTACAAAGGCCAAACGATCAGCTGCTCTTCTCCCCATAGGGTAATCACGCACGTTCGAGTTCGTACAAACAAACCAAAAAAAAAAGAAGGAAAGAACAGAGAGATATAACGAGAGTGCAGAAGGGAACAACTCAGAGCGCCCGCTTGCTACCTTCGACTGTACAGTATTTTTTACCTAAGAAACATACATAGCTCAACGTATAGGCGCATTTTCGATCGAGGAAGAGGGATAACCGATCTCTGATCAACAGATCTATTGTCCAGGAAGAGAGAGGGAGGGAGAGGGGAAGGATTCAGGCGATTCTATATTCTACCTACCGGCAAATAACAGTCAGAGAAGAGCAAACCAAAAGAAGAACTAGACGAAGCTTTCGAAAATACGCCTATATCGCAGGATCCTGAAGAACAACAATAGTCACTTGACATCGTCGGCAACGAGAGAAAAAAAGAGTCGCATTCTGGACGCGTTAGCGTGCGCTAAGTACGTCTTCCTGATTCTCAAGCCGAAACATCGTACGCGTCACGCTTGCAGAAGAAGGACGGAACTTGGAATTAAAAGTGCATATTTAGTGTTTCGCTATGAGCATCCAGAATAAAGCCTCCTGGGCCAGCAGGTGTGGTAACGAACGTGGAAGACAAATCACAATTTTCCGGAAAACTCGTGTAAAACCAGCGCGTCACTAAGAAGGGGGGAAAAAGAAGAGAGGGAGAACGCACGAGCGATCTAGGGAGCGGTGGTGATGACGGTGTGGTGTTCCGTTTATCATTTCTTCTTTTCCTTTCTTCCCTGCTTTGTCGCAACGACGAGAGCGATCTTCGTTCTGGTCACTTTACACTCGAGGATACGCAGGCGCACTATATATTATAAATATGTGAACGTAATTTACCTAATACCGCCGACTACCCCCCTCCCCCTTCTTCGCATACCTGTGTCCCCATTGTCGCGTTATACGATCAGAATCGAGAGAGAGAGAGAGAGAGAGAGAGAGAGGACAAAAATCTTGCAAGGGTAATCCGGAAATTCATTTGTAATTGTGCGATGCGCGCGTGCTATGTATATACGTATATACCACCATGATGCTTCACGCTATGTAAACTGATTACAACTTTAGACTAGATTAGATATTTTGTTGTATACCAAAACTTCGTGTAGCTGAATGTGAACGGTAATAATATTCAAATATTACATTGCGAAAGAGATGTGTGCGTCGCATGTCAGAGAGAGAGCGAAAGAGAATGAAGCGAGTCGCGTGTATGTGTGTGCGTGTATGTGTGTGTAAGAGAGAAAAAGAGAAGAAAGATGCATGAGAGTGAGAAAGATAGATGATGCACTTTCGGCAGAGAGCAGAGAGAGATCGCTGTCACCGCCGTCGCTCCCCCCCCCTCCCCCCTCCAAACTATAATCTTCCAGTGTTACTAAATAGACTCATTGTTGAGCACGAAAAAAAGTGATACTGATCGATGATTATTTATGTTATAATTCGTCCTCGATGTTACAGAAAAACCGTGTTTAATAAAAATTTCATTTGGACAAACGGTAACGGCGGTGCTCATTTTCAACCATCCAGAGTTAACCATTTTTAGATGCTCGTCCCAGAATAAACGGATCGATTACCACTGATAGGCTCCTCCGAGTCGAAAGTAAGAGACTGGGGAGAGTCGTCGTTTGTATTCGCTGTTGTCACCTTTCTAATTTCCACGACCCCGAACGTCTCCGCGATCAAGCGGAGCGGGTAAAAGAATCCTCTTGCGTCACGCTGCGTGCCAATGTCTGAGAAAGCGAAAGACACGTGTACTTGAAATTGCGATCATGGAGAACACAGTCGTCTTTTCTTTCCTTCCCTCGTGGAGTAATTCTTCCCGCGGAAGAACAAAATCGACCGCGACAGTTGAATTCACCCCGAATAGTCTGTCTTTACTAATTGAATCGTGAGTTACACACTCTGTATGTACAAATATACAGGGTAATTAGGAAGGAAACCGCAATTATTTGAAGAATGTGTTCAGGAGAAATTAAACAAAAACATTTTTTTTATATGTGTGTGTGTGTGTGTGTGTGTGTGTGTGTGTGTGTGTGTGTGTGTGTGTGTGTATATATATATATCCCGGGGCAATTTTTGGAACAAAAAATAAAATCGCATAATCATAATTTTAAATTAATCCATAGATGCTTAGAATGTTCGTAGAATGAACACTAATCGGCATTAAATCCTTTCGCGAAAGAGGAAGCATTGTTCCTGTATTAATCATCATTCTGTAGTAATTGGCCGGTTGATCGATCGATTGGTCAATAGAATAACGCGGCAAAGAGGCAACAACGTTTTCCTCTTGCGGAAGGAATTAATGCCGGTCGGTGGGCATGCACCTACACACACACGCACATATACAGATACTATGTTTTGCGCTTTCGCCGAACGAAGTTTCCAGAGTCAAGTCTGGATTTGCTCTTGATTCCTGCCGAATCGTAAACTTAAACGTTTCGAAGCAGAGATGATTGGAAAGGAGTAGCTTATGTTAACTAAAAGCACCACAAACTTAAGGCTCCGAAGTAGTCGCCGTGACTGTCCTCATTTAATGACGTCAGAAGCGAGAAAATGCTTAACATTTTTAATGCTAACATTTTTTACGTTACACTTTCAAGTAAAAAGATATATTCACAAAATGACGCTTGTAATCGATTCAGCACATTTGTCAAATTGGACAAACTTTTCACTTTTCTTTTACTCAGGCGACCAATAAATAGTTGTAAAATTAATATTAACATAATCATGAGAAAAGTGGTTGGAAGAGAAAGTTCCGTGTAAAGTTAATTTTGCGACTATTGTTCGAGCAAAAGAATAATGTTTGTCCAATTTTGGAAGTGTGCCGAATCGATCATAAATGTCATTTTGTGGAGGCAAAAATCTTGATATGCGTTTTCTCTTTTGACGTTATTAAACAAGTCACAGCGACTACACCAGACTCTTGAAAGTTTAATAACATAGCACAATCCTGAATGCAATTTCAGGCCAACAAAAAATAAAGGAGTGTCGGAAGAATATAGTTCAGAGCGCTTAAGAGAATTGCGAGCGAAGTTCAAAATTCCAGATTTCCTCATCTTTCCTTGACTTTTCCAGGTTTTCCTTGACATTCTAAATTTCCATGATTTTTCCCGGTTTTCTAAGCCTGCGGTAACCCTATTCGGATAGACATACAGACAGGTGGATGAAACATTACACAATAATGGCGCGTTTCCTTGCCTTTTCTCCGATCATTCCCCCCCCCCCACTCTAAGCAAAGACGAATTCGACCGAATTACAAAGTGTAAAATATGTGTGCAAGATCATTCAACCTTTGCAAGAATAGTGGTGCATCAGTCGATGAGAGATTATCGTTGCGATCCTATTGGCGCGTTTAAACAGGGAACGAGAGGTGAGAGAAAAAAAAATAACGGTTGTTACACACAGATATATAAATAATGAATGATCCTAAGAATAATTTTTATTGACAGAGAAAAAGATGCGGTTTCCTTTTTTTTTTCTTTTTTGTCGGTTTGGTATCTAAGAGAAAAATTAAGATATCTCTCTACACAACGTAGCTCATCGTACGAGAAATAATACTGAAGATGTTATACAATGAATCGATGCGTATCGGATATTATGCGTATGCGCGCTTGTGTACGCACGTACATATATATGCATGTATGTATGTATGTGTCTATAAATTCAATCGGAGCTGTACGTATATATCGTATACACGTTCGGGGGGAAAAATAAATTAACAAAATTCGAGCGATCACGCAGTAAGGATGTTGCTCCGCGAACGGAAAAGAACAGCGGACAAACGGAACTCGCGTGCGTTATTGCAATACGTTGTCGCGTAAACAGACGGATAAAAATCTTATGCACATTTTGCACGGTGCTTATGCATGTGTTATAATTCGGCCGAAACGTCGTCGTGCGTACATATGAATATAATACAACGCGAGTTCACTTTAAACATATTCTCAACATATTACATCAATCGAAACCGTGATGAAACTTTTTTTTGCTTACAACGTGCGTGACGTGGGGATAGGATGCGCGCGTTTCCTCCCTCTTTGAAGTCTATTAATGAAAACGGAGGATGCGTTATTTGTTTACGGGAACGTTTACACGACAATACACACGCTGTGTGCGACACATGTTTTATAATCGGATTCTCCGATGAATCTTGCTTTTCTTCTTCTTTTCGCTAAACATTACGAACCACTATTTTGCTTTGGCAACGCGGAGAAATTGTTTGTTCGTCGGTATTCATAACGCTCGAGTGTTGCTAAACCGGTTCGCGAATAATAATACATACAGCCCGTGCGATAAAGCGCGAGATGAAGACAGTGATGTCGATCGATCGTGTCAAACGTAAATAATAGCGATATCGATTTTGACTCGGCGACGATCTGATATAACGCAGTAATAGGTGCATTATCAGCTATTCTCGGGAAGGGGGGAGGGAAGTAAGGAGGAGATGCCAAATGTTCTCAGAGAGAGAGAAGGCAAAACAGAGTAAATGAAAATCCAAGCGGAAAAAGGAACACACACACATACACACACACACGCACGCGCGCGCGTCAGTCTGGCGGCGGTATAAAAAACTAGGTAGAAACCGTGAAATAATATAGGATATATATGTGTATGTATATATGTATGTACAATATTCTAACGAGACAAACATCACACACACACACACACACACGCACACACACACACACCAACCGATGGTGGTTGTCCGAAAAATTTTCACGATATCTCGGGCATCGTTTCGACCTATACATATACATTCTCGGCAGTTACAGATCCGATAAGGATATACGTATTTGTGATAAGTTACTACGAAGAAAATGAATGTACAGGAGGAGTGCGCGGTGTGCGCGCCCACCCCGGACGATCCGGAACTCGCGAAAGGAAAAATTCGTAACGGAACTCGACTCGCGAGAAAGTATCTCGAAGGCTCGACGGGATACTATTTTCCACGTGCATTTTCAGCACGCGCGCTGATTGTGCACACACTTGCGAAACTTCGAACGTATCTTCCTCTTCGTAACACGGCGGGAATTTTGCTGAAAATCTTCGTCGCGAATTACGGATCGTCTGTCGTGGGAGCTCCAGAAGCGAGCATCTCTATCGATCTTGAAGGAAAGAAATGATGATCGCGTCGAGGAAAAACGTCGACATTATTGCACAAAACTCCTCAGGCTCGTCAATTGGAATGCTGAGAATACATGTGGGCCAGAGTTTCGATTTTTTCAGAGAAAAATTAATCCAACTAAAAAAAAAAGTATGGAACAGCGATTGCAACTTTACAAAACTTAATAACTTCCGCTTCGTTATCTCTCGAAGTTCATGAGAAAACTCTCGTGCGTGCGACTCACTCGGCCGCTTGCATCTTCAGCGCTTCGCAATTGTCGCGACATTTCGCAGCCGGTCTGAAGATTTTTCAATTGCCTTAAATCACACACCTAACGACGACGATACACGGGATATACACATCCGTCGTTCTTTCTCTATCTTTCGCTCTCGCTTTTTCTCCTATTATCTGCTATCCATCGTCATAACTTTGATCGGTACGCGAGCGATTATGTTCAATCGAAGCTCGTACCGGACTACGCGATTCGGTATCGATGTATCGAAAACGAAAAAAAAAGAAAAAGAGGAAAAGAAAATATGATCGTGTTCGTATGAGGCGGGAAATGTGAAGCGGGGTTGTAGTGGTGGTGGTGGTGGTGGTGGTGGTGGTGGTGGTGGTGGTGGTGGTGGTGATAGTGGTTGGTCATCAAGCGTAACAACACAACAACCAAGAGGCTACCTGTAATAAATTACACCAAGGCGTATTTTATTTTTTTTTCTTTTTTTTAAATACGATTTAGTCGTGTCACTAGTGTCGGCTAATTAATTACGTTAAATGGATGTGATGTTGGCTGCTGGTTGTTATATAACTGTAATAATCAATTAATATACTTATTAGAATCATGACGCAGCAGGTAGGTACACAGGCAAACGGTGTTGCTTTTTTCCTGATATTTTCCTCTTTTTTTTTTTTCGTATATATAGCTGATTGGTCTAACTCAATTCTGATTCTAACAATCGCGATCTAAAAATTTCGTCCCCGCATCGGAAAAAGAAAAAAAAAACGTGAAACTCATTCGATGAAATTTCTCTTTTCGCTCTACCGAGTCTGACCCAATTTATGGTTAATTTCGTATTTCTTTTTTTCAAGTTTTTTTTTTCATTAGGAAGATGTAGATACATTTCGATTATTGTGTGTAATCAATTATGTATAATTGAATAATAATATTAATAACTGATACTAATAATATGGTAATAATCATAATAATTCCTCATAATAAATGTAAAAGTTGGTACACAGAGATACAAACGACTGCACTTGTTTCTGCGGACAAAAAAGAGACTTACAAAACGTGACACATGCACAATATTAAACGAAAACTCGAACAACACAAATCACCAGATTAATTTTTCTCTTGTTTCTTTTTTTTTCCTTGTTTCAGCACCGATGATCATACAGCGGCGTAATATATACTCTCGATATCTTGAATCTGCTGTGTGGCTCAATAATTTTTTTATCTTTATAAATTATATTGATATTTAATTATCTAAAAAAATTCTAAAACGTCTTGTCTGCAACGTCTGTCGTATACCACTCCATTAACCTACAAAACTATTCCTTTTCCAAACATGATTGTAAAGTCCTTTTTTTTCGACCACGCGAGAGGGCTTCAGACAGACTAACAAGATGTTTGTAACTCTGGATGGAGATAACTCAATTAGTAAAACTGAAACCTTTTCTGTGGTTCAGCAATATTGATAGTAAAACCCTATTCAAAATCATAGGTAGTCTGAATAATGCTCTCGAGACTCTTGCCATTAATTCTTCTCGTCCTCATCGTCCTCTTCTTCTTCCTCCGATGCTTCGGCAAGCCATGTTAACCATGAATTTACCTAAACATGACACAATTGCATCTGCATTAATTTTCGAGCCATTTAAATCAAGATCGTTCGATCAAACATTGATCGCAGTTTTCAACAAAAAATTATGAAAGAAAAAAAATTATTTTTAAGTTGTTTTTAAGCATTAGGCTATATGTTAGAAGTGATTTCATACTTTCTTTATATAAATTTTCTTATTTTCTAACAATCTGCTTACCCAACGCCCAACGTGTTATCTTTACTTATTTTTCAATGACATTCTTAAAGCTCTTTCTTTCCTTGTCATACCCATTTTGATTAATGACATCAGACATGAGAAAATATATGCATAAAATTCTTGAAAAAGCACATAAAAAAAGGTATGTTCACAAATGACAAATGTGTAAAATATTACGGAAACTTTTTCATTACTCGAATAATCAATAGCCATAAAAATAACACGACAAAATAACAGTAGTTAAAAAGTAAACCACGTTGTCATGTTAATTTTATAGCTACTTATCGATTATTAGAGCAAAGAGAAAGTTTCGATTTATATTATACACATCTGCTCAATCGATCGCGAGTGTCACCACCTTATAGACGCATCTTTTTATTTTTACGTATTTCACAAGAATTTTGTATATACATCTGATATTTGAAACTTTCGTGGAGACATGCTCGATCTGGCTTCCGGTTTATTGCCACGTCTTTCGTAAATTAGTTACCGATGTTTTGAGAACATTTCAGTTCACTTCTTCATTTTGCGCGTGTATTTTTCCCACTTTTAACGTTATCAATCAATATGACGGTGAAAAGAAACCAGAGAGGCTTTAATGATGTATTTATAACGGACTTACAACATAGACTTTAGCTTTATCGACAATAAACCGATTAAGAAAATATTAATCAAGCCGTTAGAGCCTATTATATTAGTAGTGCGCGACAAACGACAAGATAATATATCTGTTCTTATAGCCGCACTTTCTGAACTAAAATCTGTGTGATCCAGTAATTTTTCTAATATGCTTTTACTCAAGCACCGATAACTATGTTTATCCAGTGTACAGATATTATAGTACCGAGTAAACGAAGTTGAAAAAAATTTTGCAATTATTTTTAAAATAGAGATAACTTAAGGTGTAAGAGAAGATAATGTATTGATTCTATATAGAAATAAGTAAAAAAATATGCACATTTTATGAAAAAATTTCTATGTTTGTATGTACAATAATTCAACAACTATAAAATTTCCATTTTTCACTTTGGGTCAATTTGACCTATGAATGCTAAATTAGGATTAAATATACATCTATATCATCTTAAAGATAGTGCAATTTCGTGCATAAAGAACTGACTTGATTATAACAGAAGAAAGTGAGAAGGCACTCGTCATAAAAAAAAACCCCTAATTCTACTAGAAAATATTCTAGCTTATAAGAATCAAGATAACATTTACATACCTGGAATAATGCTTTGCCCTTGCCCGGATAAGCATCGGTGACAGCTTCTCTCCATTTATGATAGGCTTCCTCTTCGATAACTTCAAGGTTGTAGAGTGCTATGAACCATCGCAGCAGCAACCCTTTCGGAAAATTGTGCGAAAAGCAGAACACTTGAAGCGCATGGAGAGCCGTTACTTGAGAGTCGATGGTGGTCAGGAATGTGCGAATAAAGCGTGCGTATTTCTGCAGTAGCGCACTTTCCTTCTCTTGCAGTTGTTTGTCCGGATTCACAGTCGGATCAACGCCAGGTGCTAATGTTGTCTCCTGTTGTCGCAAACGAAGATCAAGATATTACAGACAAGATTCTGTCATTTCTACTCATAAACGCAACTTACTCAATCCGCTATCGGGCAATTATATGAATAAACGTTTTAAGGAAGTTGTGAGATGAAATAAGTTTCATAAAAATGGAACTCGCAGTACGTATACATTGAAATATTATTTAACTGTTCGTTAACTGCAATTAAAAAAAAAGGAAACATTCTGGAGCCGATATTTGCAACTGAGATGGATGTTCTTTATACATTTTTTTTCAGATTAGCGCGTTATTTTCAATTTTTACTTTGGAAATACAGCAGTATCGAGTTCATAATTTATAGTAAAGTTCGAAATATATATACACATATTAAAACATCTATTATCTTCTTCTATTACTTATGCATCTCAACCACATACACACCAGATCAACTAATGCATAAATAATATTTTCGTATTTATAATATTGCGTACACACGTATATATTTATCTCAATTTCGTTTCAAATTAACATTTATTATTTTGACAGTGAAATAAATGTAAAAATGTGATTTTTCCTGATAATACTAAATTTATAAATGTTCCCCTTTAATTGAAAATACGACACTGAATCTAACAACTTTCTTAAGTGACTCAATTTATCTTCCTTTTTCTTGTTTAACCGAAATAAAGAAACAAGAGGTGGTACTCGACGATGGTCGCTTGAAAAACTAACCTGAGTGATGTACTTGAAAAGCACATTCATCATAGCGTTAATGAATGCGGGATCAGAATGGTGTTGGGGATCCAGCTTCTCCTTGATCCATTTGTAAAGAGCGTTAGGCGCCGGATCGGCTTCCAATTGACGCCACATGTCCCCTTGGATTCTGAGAAGGGGATAGAGAAAAGTCAATTCTCGGTCCTCCAAGATCTCGCCCAGTCGCTCCTTCGTTTTCTCCGCTTCTGGCAGTTGGCTGATAAGATCCACCTTGCTGTCGTTGAAGATCTGCGTGAGTCTCGCCTTGCCCTGGGTCTTGTGCAGTTGCTGGAGCGTCAGCAGGAACAGCGGGTGATGACGGCCGTTTTCCGTTTCCGAGGCAAGATCCGTCAGCTGAATCAGGTTGTCCACTATGGCCTTAGCTGTCAGGAAGGCAACGTAGGATGCTACGCAAGGCACAGTACTCTCCCTCTCCGATATACTGGCCACGAGCTCCTTCCATCCTTCGTTCACTTGCTGCAGAGTGAGCAAGTTCTCCTTTTTCAATTCGACCACGAGCTTGGCGGCGAGCTCGCGCTCCGAGTCCCCGCGATCCAGCGTGTTCGAATACAGCGTGTAGATTGCATGACGCAAGAATCGTTCGGGTATCTTAAGATCTTTGAAGGCTGTCACTGCGTCCTGCACGTTCATGTGGGACATGAGATCGTCCATCAGGACGTGCACCTTCTTCAACACCTCCTCGCGAGTGGGCCCTTTGTCCTTTCTGTCCCGAGCCTTCTCCCTCTTGTCCACAGGACCTTGCTTAATCACGATAGCGGGCGGTGTCTCTTTGTGCAATAGAGGCGAGCTGGGCTTCAGAGTGGCAGTACGTAAGAGAGGCAAGTCTGAACCTCGTCCTGGGAACAAATCTATTATTTTTACCATTTAAAATATCCATTAACTCACCAAGTTTGTTCAATTTAAGCTTTCGTTAACAATCTGGTACACGAGGCTTGTCCCAAAAATATCCGACCTCTCTGCTTATATCATGAGAAAGATCTACTCCGGAGTGATATGAACCAATGTTGCCTTCAAAGTGGTCTCCTTTCGAAACGATGATCTTCCAGCGGTCCACTCACTTCCGGAAGCAGTCCTGGAAGTCGTTTCTTGCGATAGCCAACAGCTCCCCCGTCGCATTTCGTTTTATCTCCTCAACGTCGTCTAATCTTTTGCCCTTCAACCTTCAATTTTTTCAATTTAGGAAATAATCAGAAGTCACACGGAGTTATATCTGAACTATACGAGAAGTTGGTGAACTTGGACAACGCCGTGTTTAGTCAAAAAGTCCTGAATCAGACGAGAGTGAATGAGCGTTATCGTGATGCAGTAGCCAGTTTCTCACAAATGCAGCAGCCGTTTCCTTCTCACTGCGTCACGCAATCGTTTAAAAACTTCATTGTGAAACGCGGCACTCGGAGTTTTCGACACTCACAAACTGTGCACCATTGTCGACTGAACAGCTGTTGAGTCGTGCCGCTTGGTAGGAATACTCCTCAAGGTCCCCCCTAAATGCTGAATGCCTGTTTTCCACACAATAGGATGCCCAAGGACAAAGATATACGCAGAGGTCAGATGGCTTTTGGGACAGATCTCGTATACACAAGATCTCAGATATAAAGCAAGTTTTCAGAACGTTACACATGTACTCTCAATCGATCATTTTATGGACATATCCTTGCAACATATTCCGCAAGAATTTTGAGCACGTCATTAAACAAAATGGCTGTAACAAGTAAACAGAAGTCCTTAAAAAGGCTCGAGTGAACAATCTGATATGATTTCAACAATTAAAGTTACGTTTCAAAACAACTACTAAATTATTAAATGATTATCGCTGATTGACGTCGAAACGATTCTGTAGTTGAAAGATGACACGAAAGAGTTGAAGAAAAGCACTCACCATTGTTGAGAGGTAGGTTCAAATTGATGTTAGTCTGTTTGAACATCATCGAATTGGCTGAGGGTCTTAAAGACACTTCTTCCGGATGTCCTCCGATCAGCATCTTGTTCTTGTTGAATCGTAGTTGCTCTTTATTGCTACCTGCAATAAGACAAGACGTAGAAGTCGTGCGAGAATGACTCAGTTGGTGAAAGAAAAAAGCTACGCTTACTATTGTTAAAGTTCTGCGGTAAATTGTGTTGCGGTTGGTTGCGTTTCCCTTCGTAATTGTTCTGATGACGACTCTGGTTCGGATAGTAACCCGGCTGATTGCGTTGGTTAGGTCGGCCGTAACCAACGGGCGTCGTCCCTGCGAATCCATTCGGGCTGAATGGTGATGACATACCGAATGAAGAGGAAGTCAGTGGGATACTTCCCATCATATCGACATCCAGTGCGCCTCGTCCCATCTTTCGTAAAAACTCCGCACCGAGGCGATCGTCCCGTCTATGGAAACCGTTTCCCCTCGAAGACTCCTCGTTGTCGTTGCGGATTTGATTAATGGGCATCGGACCCTCGCTGCTGGTGGCCTTGCGCGGTTTCCAATCGTCACGGCGTAACTCAATCACATCGCGCAGCATGAATTTAATGCGTAGAGGAAGTTCCCTACTCTCTGCCAGGGAGTTCATACGTTTGAAGTATTGATCCATGAGTCCGCGGCCCTTATCCGAGTCAAGGATACGGCCGCAGGTACGCATAATCTGGCAGAGACACTCGATATCCTCCGCAGTGTCCCCCCGGGATCCCCCTCGCCTTTTCTTCTCCAGCAACTGCTGGATGCAACGGTGTAAAATCGGCTCCGACACGATTCCCAGTTTGCCGAGCTCCCCGATGAACTTGATGTTACCAAGCATCTTGCGCTTGGCCACCTGCCGGCGCTCCTCCTCCTCGGGGCCCAGCTCATCCTGATTCTCGAACGCCTCGCTTGCTTTTGAACGATTTTCGAACTCGTCTTTGCACTTGTTAAGTAAAAGAACTCTGAATGTGCTCTGGCCTTTTTGACTTTCATCGATTGGTTTTCGGGGTTCAAAGTTTGCGGCTTCGTCAGACAGCTGTTTGCACAGCCGTGCGTACATAGAACTGTACTTGGGTTCATCAAGTGCTTTTTCGAAGATCTGGGAACATTGATTGACGTGCTTCTTTTTATCGGATGTGTCATCGGGAATGTTTGCGCCAAGTCGTACACACACTTCTTTCGTGCGTGTACGACTTGCACACGGGAGAGAGAAAGAGAGCGCACGGCCGTTGAAAAACCGCTCCGAAAAATAATATAACGCTCGATTAGATACGTTAATTAGTAGACGGGAATTGTCTTTTTATCGATTTTAGCAAACTCGTCCGAGCGCTCTGTACAACAATATCGACGTCTCTCACAAAATTCATGTTATACGTACCAAGAAAATAACACCCTTAAGAATCACATGGGAATTAAGCTCAACGTTGAGCAGGTCGTTGCTCAGCTTTGCGAACTTTTCCGGTGTGAGCTTGTTAAGAATACCCCGCACCTTTCTAAAGATGAGATCATTTCGGCTTTCTGGGGTGAGTGCATCGCGTCTAACAGTTGAAGGAGGGATCCAGCGTTGCTCAGTGGATAGGGAGCGAATATCGTCCCTGGAAGGCATCGAATTTTTCTAATTTCAGTGGTCACGTGTAACTAACGAGAGCGAGATACTTTTTGCTGAGCTAATCGCGGGTGCCTTAGTAGCAATCGGCGTCCCGCGAGTATCGTTTGTTACAGCCGAACTTTAGCTTTGTAGATCCTGACCTTCCTCCCGAGACACGAGAAGCACCCCCCGGTCCTGTGGGGTTGTCCGTTGTTGCGCGTGTTTTGGCCCCCTGAGTGATAAATCACAGCACACAGATCTTCCTTGAGGAAGCTGCAAAAATTATATGGAATTTAGAATATATCTTTTGCTCTTTCATTATCTTAAATAAATATATATGCATATATATATATTATGCATATATAATTATAATTACATATATATATATTTACTTATTATTATAAATTTATACAAATGTAATGGATCGAATAGTCGATTATAATAAGCGTAAGTCAGATCCGACTCGCGAGACGGCGCAACGAATGTGATGGAGCGGCAGTGTAGAGACGCGAACGGGTGTGTGTGTGTGCTGAGTGAGAAAAGTAGCGTGTAACAACAGCCAAATAGAGCATTTTTTACAAAATGATTATTCTCAATATCCCTTACATAATATTATAAATTTATCTACTTATTATATATTTATATGATTTATATTTTTATTATATTAGATTAGTATTATTAAAACAAACACCCGAGTGATTAAAACAATGTATGTAATGCATTAATTCCAATCAAACTTTTTGCCATCGAATTGTCGGAAATTCACTCCAATTATGACGCAGCTGACCAATTCCGTCGATGTGACAACATTTCGTCCCGTGCAGGAAACGAAGATTGAGGATAACGAATTAGAAACCAAGAAATTCGCGAGAAACGAGCAATTTCGAACTCAGTTCGCTTCGTTCGCAAATTGCTCATTCAATTCCGAATACTCGATCTCCGATACAGGCTTCAAGAGAAGCATGTCCGGTGTTTATTGGGACACTCGGTAATTTCGAAAGATTCCATCCTTCTCCACGACGAAGGTCTTCCGCGGACGAGGCAAGGACCTTCTTCCCCGGGAAGATGACTTTGATCTTGCTCGCCGTCACGAGAGCAAAACGACCGAAACCCATGGGCGAGGAAGGTGGGGAAAGGAGCGTGTATGTAGGGTGCGGCTCATGGTCAGACGGTCAATGAACCCTTTCTCCCTACTCTCTTCTCGCTCCCCTTCAAGCCAACCCTTCCTTCTCTGCCCTCCTGCTTCACCTCGACCGATCCTCGCGAATCCCGTCGTCGTTGCGTGCCACTCGGCCGAGGTCGGACGGCTTCGACTGTGTTGGACGGAGGTCGTACCCGTCCGGCTACCTCTACCGGGTGTCCCAGAACGTTCGAAATGCAGGAATGGAATTTAGGCAAGGCAACGTGACAAACATCCGGCCGGCTTGGTACTTTTTAAATGCTTCATAATAATCCCGCGAGAAGCGTCGACGAGGAAGAAATTCGTTCTCGCCATTTGATAGCTTCGAGAGGATGATTCATGACTGAACAAAAGCAGCTGATTTGTACAATCGAGTCATTATAAAAACAAAAGTAACAACTAACTGTCCGATGACACGAAAATCAAAGAGATATCGACGACACACGTTATGTCTAAACGACATTCTATAACCATTTTAATTATTTCTTTCACTTTTTAAGTTCTTTATCTCATATTTATTTCATATTGAATTTAACTTCATATTTGTGCTCGTCTTAGTTTGGCGATTAGTTTTGCCTCGTTATTGTATGCTAAAGGATTTCCCCGTAAAAATAAAGATTATTATTTTAGCAAAATAATATGCAGATTGTCTATACAATAGCCCGTTCTCGGAATCTTACATTCCCATGTAGGACCAGGAACGGACATTGAATCATTACAATCGCAACATAATCAAATCCAGCATCGATTTGCTTAACCGGTTATTTTGTATACAACCAATTATTAAAGTAACCAATTGTTTTGGCTCATCTCTATAGTTATACCTTTCTTGATAGCGATTACCGTACTGTCAGTAAGATTGTTTATCGGATCGGTCGATCCTCATAACTTGAGACATTTTCTCCCGCTTTGAAGAATATTGCGAACGTAAGTGCATTAAAGTAAACGTAAATTAAACATGTACAATATTTATGCAAATTTCCCGGGGGAAGATAAGTCTGAAGTATGTGCATGAATTCCTAGTCTCTTGCGTCTTGAAACATCGAATGTTGTGTACAAAATGGAAGAAGAAGATACTATGTTAAAACTTCTATACTGTCGTGAAACCTCAATACTGTAATTTTATGATAACAATGATAATAGTAAAATAACAATAACAATAATAACGATATTACAAAAAATAGTAATATTACAAGAAATAGCATATAATATTATAGAAATAACTCATACAACAACAGAAAATATAAATACGTAATACTTAAAACACGTAATGTAATCTGCAATTTTCTCTATAACTCATATCACGTCTTCACGTCTCCGTGTTAAATCAAATTAGTCCAAAAACAAATTCTCATAGAGTAATAGACATAAAAAAAATAATAATAATAACAAAGCACAAATTCGAATAAATCGGAAAAGAGCGAACTTTTACAGTGCAATTTTATGGACTCTTAATTAACTCTTCTCCTCTGTGTTCGCTGAAGCGCAAAGACACCAAGACAACCCTTGGAGCAACACGGCCGATGTTGCGAGCCTCGCTTAACGTCCAATAATGTTCAATGTCGTAATGAGTGAGAGAAATCGACGGCCAGGTTTAGCGTTTGAAACATGTAACGAGAATGCAAGGCAAGCGTCCACTGAAATAGCATTCTCTAAACATTCGGTTTGAGGCTCGGCAGGCGGCTACGATACGCGGCTGCTAAATGCGCAATGAAAATATATGATCCCTTACAGACACGTACCTATCCACGTACAGGCAAACAATGACGATAACGACGAGATCTTGACTGTCTCGCGAGAGACGAGAAAGAAGAGAAAAAGGAGAAAACGATGCGCGTCTCTCCCGTTGACGCGTTTTGTCTCACCGCCGGCAAGGCGAAGTTACCGGATACATCGATACACCAATACTAGGACGTACATATCCGTGTACGCCTGAGAGAAGGTTGCCCTAAATTTGGAATTTCGCAGGTCGGTGGTTGACATGTGCGACAACACAAGAAATTACCTTCACGTGTCGCCGCCGAGCCGCGTGAAATCCGAAACAAATACGAATCTTACGTTGAAATAGCGCTTCGTCAGGTATTCCTGCTTCGAGCGGGTGTCCTTTGTGAAGGACAATTTCCACGGAGGCGATTCGACAAATGGGCTTATTTTACAAAGCAGCACCGTCGAGAAATCCTGGAGATCCCTTAATTTTTGTATCGATGCATATGTTCAAAAAAGAGTTGCGGCGCTTAAAGCCTCGGCTTTTGAGTGCTTCAAGATTTGCTGTTAAGATTTGATCACGAACGGCGCTGTTAAGATTTGATCACGAACGGCGCTGATTTAAATTAAACTTTGCAAAATTGAAAGCTGGAGTTCAATGATGACGCGTACGGGGAGAACAAAATTTTGCTCCGAATTTTACTTTAATTGCATCGTAAAATCTAACATTTTCTCCTAAAAATGCTTTTTGATCACTACGCTATTCCCCCCTCTCCTCCTTCTCCCGAAAATCAACGCGTTCGCATGGAGTATCCATCCATCGCGTCTTCATTCACGCCGAGAAGCGTCGCGCGGGTCAAACGTTGTTGTGCGAAAGAAACGATCTACGCGAACATGGGATTAACGTCGCGCGACACGTGGCAGAAAAAATTCCACGGCGACACGAGGGCATACCGATCAGTAATGGAGGGGATGGTTCCTGCTGAGTGCACACGTATATACGGCACGCAGCATGCGAGTCATTCCCTCTGCTTCCTATCATGCTGCAAGAGGCCGATTCCTGACATCACTGCCGGCTGTGACGGATATCGCTGTGCAATCTGTTATAGTGAGAAGGGCCTGAAGCGGCGGAATCGCAGTACGGGCGCGTATGTGTCGGAATTTGCAAGATAATTAAATAAACGAGTCGATGTGCATGCATGTATACTAGCGTATACATTTAGAGACGGCCTCTCTCTCTCTCTCTCCCCCCCTCTCTCTCTATCTATCTATCTATCTTTCTCTGTTCTCTAGCTTCTTCGTTCTTGGCAAATACTATTTTCGAGCATATATTTACAGCCAGCAGTATCCGTTACTTTAGCTCTCTCTCTCTCTCTCTCTCTCTCTCTCTCTCTACCTGCTGCAACCCGAAAAAAGATTTCTCGTATCCTCGAGATGCAAGACACGGCTATTGAATTAATGTCATTTATTTGTCTAGTAAACCGCCAATGTCAACTGCTGTAACGACTCGAACAGTTTTCCATGAATATCGCAAAATCACTCGAGTCCGCAATTGAGAGAATCGTTAATCACGGTAATAGTTAGAAAAGATCACATCGCGCTGATCGCGAGTTTCAACTCGCAAAAACGGCAGAGAATAAAATACAAATTAAATGTTCTCGAGTATTTTGTTCTTTAGGGATACAACAGAAACTAAGGAAACTGGCAAAATAAAAAACAAAGAAAAAGGAAACAGTGAGGTGAAAGTAGGATATAAGATATAGACGAAAGTCAGATAGCTCAGATGAAATGAGAAAGCAGAGAAACTGGAAGAGAAGAAAAAAAAAGGAATGAAATCAGGAAAGACGGGGAGAAGAAGAGGACGAAGGAGATGGAGAGAAGGGATTAAACATTTGTTTTTGGAATATAGCGGGTGCAATAGATAAGAATGAAGAGATGTAAGAGTATTTGGAAAAATTTGAAGTAATTGGCTTAACAGAGATATTGTGGAAGAAAAGCGGAAGAAAATAAGAAATAAAATGTCAAACAAATATAAACGGAGATGTAAATCAGCAATGAAGAGAAAAGGGAGGGCCAAAGGAAAAATTACTATGGCAACGAGCAAGAAATTGAAGAGAACGAAGAGAGCTGAAGA